ACAAAAAAATTTCGAGGGCCAAAACATGGATACCTTTTTCTCCGACAAGCGTCGCTGGACCCATCTGGAAGTCGCGGACCTGCTGGTCTCGCACAATGCGCTTACGTCCATCAGCAAAGAAGATGCGCTGGAATTTGCCAAGCGAATGCGCCCGTCACGCGTAAAAGAGGGCACTGTCCTTTTTCGGGAGGGTGAAAAAAACTCCACCTTCATGATCTTTATTCTGCAGGGCGAGGCTATCGTTGAAAGTGGCAGCCTGAGTCACAACGACTCCACCATATTCAAGGTTCTTGGTGAAGGTGACTTGATCGGCGAGCTCGGAATTATTGATAACCGCGCACGCGCAGCAACGGTGACTGCGGTCAGCGAAATCGCCCTGGCCGTGATGGACCAGGCCTCTTTCGCGAAAATGATCTCTGAAAAGCCGGCGCTGGCGTGCAGTTTTCTGGGAACCATGCTCCAAAGCGTGGGCAATCGGCTTCGTGAGTCAAACCACAGGGTACGAACCCTGAACCAGATCAACAAAAGTTTGACCCAGGAATTGGCATCTGTGCGGCAGGAAATGGAGGGATCTGCTGCAGAAAGCACTCAAGCTTCAGAGGCCCCTCCTACTGGCAACAGCATGCGGGTCGCTTCGAACGAAGGCCATGCAGAAACGAGGGCGCCCGTGCAACCCGCTTACAAACCCAGTTTCTTTCCGACCCGTCCGGCTGGCGCAGCACCTGACGTGAACATCGGGCTGTCACCCAATGTCGATTTTGGCAACACAGGGGAAGATCTGCCAAGGCCGGATTTCTCACCTACCTTCGACATGAAGCACTAGCAATACAGGTCAGTCAGGATAGCCTGTGGCCTGCAGGTTCGGGTCGGTACTGTGAGCGCGCGACCTCGCCCGAGAAATCGTCAAAATCCGATTTCAAAACAAGCAGCGCGTCTGCAAGTCTGACCCAATCGCCCGTTTTAAGGAACTCAGCCATCTTGCGCACTGTCAGGGAGATGGCCCGCGCAGAAACAGCATCACCGGTACCGACGAGGGAGTGAAGGGCCCTGCCTGTGCCGTCACTGTTGCGTTGTTCGACTGAATGCTCCAACTCCTGCATGATCGCGGGAAGTCGCTCGACAAATGAACCCAGCACCGTTGCCAGCAGTGAAGCATCCCCTCCCAGCCTTTCCAGCGCAGAAGACGCATCAAATGTTGCGACGGATGATTCGCCTCCTGGTTTGACAGACGGGGTGGACTCCAGGGCGGTCGAATCTGAAGCGGCGGGTACCTGCCATCTCACAAGCGCAGCAAGCATCCTGAGGTGATCAAGGGGTTTGGACAGATACGCATCCATCCCTGAATCCAGGCAACGCTGGATGTCACCCTCAAGCGCATTGGCGGTCATCGCAATAATGGGCGTAGCGCAACCGCTGGCGCGAAGTGCGCGGGTTGCGGTGTATCCGTCCATGACCGGCATCTGGCAATCCATCAAAATAACGTCGAATGTCGCCCCCTTGGCAACTTCGTCAATCGCCTCCTGACCATTGGCCACCACTGTCACTTCTCGGTAACCTATTTTCCCGAGAAGACCCACCACCACGATTTGATTGGTGGGGTTGTCCTCCACAACCAGCACCCTTTCTTGCCGAAGCTCGGGCAGGCCCTGGGGATCCAGCGACTCCACCGGACCCGACACTTCATCTGCTTGTGCAATACGAACACCGGGTAGTACAACAGTAAACGTGGAGCCTTGGCCCTCCTCACTTTGCAGTTCTACATGCCCGCCCATCAATCCGCTCAACTGTTTGACAATTGCAAGCCCCAGCCCCGTACCACCGTATTGACGTGTAGTGGAGGCATCAGCCTGAACATAGTCTTCAAACAACTTTTCCTGCGCCTGCTTCGGTATGCCAATACCGGAATCGGAAACGACAAAACTGAGTGCCAGATTTCCATGCATGTCATGCGCCGCCGAAACCTTGAGATCAATTTTCCCCGCATGCGTAAATTTCAATGCATTGCTCAGGAGGTTGGAGAGGACTTGCCTTAATCGAGCGCTATCTCCCCATATGCATTCCGGTACACCAGCATCCAGGCCAGACGAAAAGAGCAGGCTCTTGGCGTTTGCACGCTGGCCGAACAGCGCCGCCAGATCTGTGACCAGTTGGCGCAGATTGAATGGCCGGTTTTCAACGCTCATGCGACCGGCGTCAATTTTGGAAAGATCCAGGAAATCATTGACCAGTACCAGCAATGACTGCGCGCTGTCATCAATCAGTTTTGCAAACTCCCTCTTCCGGGGTGTCAAGGCTTCATCCTGGATCAAGCGGGTGAGTCCGAGAATGCCGTTGAGAGGGGTACGAATCTCGTGGCTCATGGTGGCGAGGAAGCTGGTTTTGGCCCGATTCGCCGCCTCGGCCGCACTTTTGGCTTGCTCAAGTTCAGACTGCGCATGTCGCTGGGCGGTGACATCCCTGAAACTCCAGACGCGGCCCGTCATGCGTCCCTCAATACTGTATGGCTTGGAATACCGCTCAATGACACGGCCATCCAGCAGTTCCAGCAAGTCGAAACTCTCTGTCTGATCCTGGAGGTACAGCTCCCTGATTTTTTCAATAAAGCCCGCAGGGTCTTTAACCTGGCTCATGGCGAAAGACGTTAACTCTGCGTAACCACCATCTACCGTTCCGGGTGGAACTTTCCATAGGGTCAGGAGTTGCTGATTGACAAGAACGACCTCGCGATTGGCATTGACGACCAAAATACCATCCGTGGTGGCCTCAAGCGTTGCACGCGTCATGTCTGCTGCGTTTTTGAACTGCTCTTGTGCCAGGCGGCGTTCGGTGATGTCCTGGTTCGTCCCTGTGATTCGCAAGGGTCGGCCGTTCGCATCACGCTGCGTCACCCGCCCCTCACTGTGCAGCCATATCAGGGAGCCACTGGCCGTCTTGACCCGGTGATCCAGCGAATAGTGATCGCTCTTTCCATTGGCAATCGCCATGGCGGCTTTCATCACCATGGCCTGCTCCTCTTCAGGCACAAGCGCTAGGTTGTCCTTGAAGGTGGTTGTTCGTGGCCCACTTGGGCCACCTACCAGTTCGGACCAGGTCGAAGACATGTAAACGCTCTGGTCACGAAGATCAAGGTCCCACAGCGCCACGCGGGATGCGGCCATGGCCCGCGCTTGCCGCTCTTCACTCAGCATCAGCGAAGCTTCCACAGCCTTCGCTGCGCTGATATCAACATAGGTAGAAACGAAACCGCCTCCAGGCATGGGGGCTCCACGCACATCAAGCGTTGTGCCGCCCGGACCACTCCTTTGAAAATCATGGACGACGGGCTTGCGTGCAAGCTCGGAAAACGATTCAACGAATTGCTCGGGAGGCCCCTCGCCGTACAGCCCCTGCAAGGCGTTGTGACGAATAATGCTTGCAAAGGTAACGACCGGGACGTCAAACAGGCTGTCTGGAAGCCCCAGCAGAGTCTTGAACTTTTGGTTATACAAGATCAGTTGCAGATCGCTGTTAAAAACACTGAGTCCACAGGGAAGGTTTTCCACAACATGCCTGAGCAGGCTGTTTGTCTCGACAAGCTGATTTTCAAATGCTTTCTGCTTCGTGATGTCCTGCAATGTACCGACCAGTCTTGCGGGCACGCCGTCCTCAAACTCGACTTCTCCGACCCGGCGCGTCCATATGACCTGACCTTTGGCATTGGTCATGGGAAGCTCAAGATCCCAGGGAAGTCCGGTCTTCAGGGCTCGCGCGGTGGTGCTTTCGATAAGCAGCCTTTCCTTCTCCCCGAAATACTTCATGTGCTCATCAAAAACAGGCTGATAGCTCGCGTCTACGCCATAAATGCGCTTGTTCTGGTCAGTCCATTTCACGGACCGGGTGCGAAGATCTGACTCCCATCCCCCGACACCGGAAATCCGTTCGGCCCGATCAAGAAAGCGGTTTGTGGACCGCAAACTGTCTTCCGTCAGTCTGAGCGTGGAGATATCTTCCACGGTCCCTACAAAACCGCGCCTGCCAGACGCATCAATCGTTACCGCGCGGATGTTGGCGTGGACATAAAGCTCCTGTGTCCCTCGCAACAAACGAAAGCTCGTGCTGATGGACCCGCCCATATCTGCGAAAACCTTCAGTTCGGAAAGAACCCGCGTCCTTTCCTCGGGGTGAATAATCTCGCGCCAGCCGTAGCCCAGGCTCTGTTCGTAAGTCAGCCCGTGAATTTCCTGCCATCTTGGATTGGTATAGGTACAACTCCCGTTTTCATCAGACTCAAAGATGCCGATTGGCGCTTTTTCGAAAATTACCTTGTATTGACTCTGATCCCCGCTCACGTCCGGGTAATAAGCGCGCTCCCGGAGCAGCAATGCTTCTGTAACCGCCTTGCCCAGCTGAACCAGCATTTCCCTCTGGGACGCATCCAGAATTTTGGGTTCACGGCCAATGACGCAAATCGTACCCATCGCTTCACCGCCAGGCATGATGATGGGAACGCCCGCATAAAAACGTATGTGAGGCGCGCCTGTGACGAGGGGATTGTTTGCAAATCGCTCGTCTTGCAGGGCATCGCCGACCTCCATCAGACCCGTGCCTTCAATGGCGTGGCCGCAAAAAGCAAACGCCTGCGGCGTTTGACTGGTATCTTCCAGCCCAATGTTGGCCTTGAACCACTGCCTTTCCCCGTCAAGCAGGCTGATCAGTGAAATAGGGGTATTGCAAACAGTGCTGGCCAGTTTCACGAGCGAATCGAATATCGGCTCAGCTTCCGTGTCCATGACCTTTAACATCCTCAGGCGGGCAAGCCGGGTC